TCATCAGCTCTGACAATTTTGCTGCTATTGCAGTGATATTACTGTTCTGACTGACTGTTACTGACTATTTTGAAAAAAATCATCATGGTTCTGATATTATTATTGTTGTTGTTGTTGTTGTTGTTGTTGTTGTTGTTGTTGTTATTATTATTAATAGCCTTAAATTTAGCTAGAAGTCCTGTATACAGCAAATTTGAACAAGAGAATTTCAACTACATGCATATCTGTATTCAGCATGTTTGGGACTCACACCGAATGCGATAGACGCGACCAAAAAGTGCCAGACGCCCCTAGCTGGTCGCGTGCACATTCGCACCTCGACGCACGACCAACGCGAATTGTCTGCACTTCAAAACATGCAATTTTCATGCACGTGAAGCGGAAATGTGGGAGGAAATAGTGCCAGATGGCAGCTGTCGATCTAGCCTTTGAAGAGAGAGTCTCCCTTCTCTATTGACTGTGGAGAGCAGAACAGCGGCATAAAGGACATCCTCGCTGTACCTGGGTCCATCAGGTCCTCTAGAAGCGTGAGCAGTTTGGTGAGTTTCACCACTTGCTCCAGGAGCTGCGTCTGCATGCCGGACGCTTTCAGCGATACCACCATCTTTCCCTCGCCCAGTTTGAGGAGCTGCTGTTGAGCGTCAGTTCAAGCATCGCCCACCTAAACACCTGTCCGTCTGCCTGCGGTTAGTAAAAGTGTTTAAAACGGCAGTCCTTTATCGATACCTGTGCTAATATATGCTCATTTGAAGTCCCAGTGACTTCCCCACAACGGCTCTTTTAAGAGCCACCCACAAACCTCTAAAGAGCGTTCCTGCCTTTTCTTCTTTAAAAATTTCCTTAATAAATTACTTTGCATGTATACCTAATGCTCTGGTCGCGTCTATCGCGTTCAGTGTGAACGCACCGTAAAAATAATTTAGGGTGTCATTTGTCTTCAAGGTATTGGTATCTCTTCGGCTACATCCACACTAATCAATCAATCAATCAATCAATCAATCAATCAATCAAGGCTTTATTCGCTACGTGCAGGTTGCCCTGCAGTGAAATAGGACCCCCCCCCCGACCTTTCACACACAACACTGACATCACATGGGGATAAAGGTCGGAGATCGGTAGCATTACAGAAAAAAAAAACACAGAAATATTCACTACAATGGGAAAGTACAAGAGGAAATAAAGAGACCTCTACTCATGCCGGGCTCCTGGGAGGACAGCATGAGAACAGGAAACAAAAAAACTCCTCTGCACAAAAGAGCACATAAATGTCCACAGCACAACATTATGGAACACATGACAAGCCACAGGGTCGGGTGGGGGGTGAGGAGTAATCCGAAGCAAACACAGCAGCCATCCTAATGTGTTTTCGTTTGAAAACGCATCATTTTCTCTCCGTTTTGACCTTCCGTCCACACTGAGATGGCGCTTTCCCTCACGGAAAACGCAGTGTTTTGAAACACTCTCGAAAACACATACATTTGAAAACGGTGCTTTTGCGTTGCATTGTGGACAGCAAAAACTGAGACTTTTTGAAAACGATGACACATTTTAGTCATGTGATGCAATTCCAGTGACCAGTTAAATGAAGATAGCAGAGGGCATTATACAGCGGTTGCTTTGTTTGCTCTCAAATTTTCTGTACGTTTTTGTCCATGACAGGTTAAACCACAATAAATAGCGATAGCATACACGTGGTGTGTGTGTAGTTGTCTGTCTCTTAAAACGCCAGTGATTTTCCTACAGTTTGAAATGTCATGCAATCTTGTGAATTTCATGAGTCCAGCAACTAACCACTCTTTCTAGATTGTATCATGTCATCTCAACAAGAACAAATTAAGTTGTTGAATTTCATACAGATCCTACATGATTTAATTACGTTCAACCTAGAAACATGAAATTATTTTTGTTCAAATTACAAGTTAGACTTTTGTAAATGTAACAACCAGTCGAGACTGAAGAAGTCACTTCGATGAGTGACGAAACGTTTCTCCCACAAAACGCTACGTCCAGATGAATAGAATCAACTTTTGGAGCTACACGCAAGATGCTTACATAAATCCAAGAGATGGCCAATCCCTTTCCCCCCCCCACTGTGTAAATGCTTCAGATAGCTTTTCTTCAAATTCTTAATTCTCACTGGCTTTTGCAACTTCGTACTCTTTTGGTACTCGCAGCAACAACTCCACCTCATCGTTAGTCCGTTTAAAAAACTTGGTGCTTTTCCTCAACATTTTGCCGCGACTTTTCAAAGGGCCGGAAAGTAAATAAACAACAGACAGAAATGAGGCAGATCGAATCGTCTTGCGTTTCACGCATGTGCAGTATTGGAACATAAGCGGTTTTGGCCGTTTCAGTGTGGACTGACAACTCTGTGAAAACGACTGAAAACGATAGTGTGGACACGAGGCGTTTCCAGACGAAAACACCTTTTCAAATCTATCCAGGCTAGTGAGGATGTAGCCTTCGTTACAAGAAACCAATGTTTCCATGTTCTGTGGACATTCATCTGCTTTGACCTCTGCCTTCTTAAGACTTTTATTTATTTTTCTACAGGAATATCTTAATACTGGCTCTTGCTCTCAAGGGACAAAACTCATTCTGATTCATTAAGTTACATCCAATCTTTGTTCCCATTATTTCTTAATGCTTGGTAAAAAACAAAACAAAAAAAGAAACCAAAAAAACATTTGCAGTAGCAGTATGCTGTGTGGTCTGACAAAGCTACAAACCATATTGGAGAGTAACTTAAATTAAGTTTTTCAGACTCAACACTCAACAGCCCTTTTGGGTTATATATTAAATATGATTATTCTCTCTCAAATGAGGAAAGAAAAAAATGTAGGACATTTCCCTGAAGCTAAACTTCCATTTTGTGTTCCATTTTGTGCTTTACCTTAACATAGCTCAGGGCCAAAGTAAAAGTTTTCTAAATGATAAAAGTAAAACTGTCCTCCAGCCATAGTGTGTACAGTTTTCCACAGGAAATAATAATTAATAAGTGACTCATGTAATTTAGATCAAGAAAAGTGTTTTATATTAAGACTGGGTGAGAAAAGTTTTCAGGGTTTGTAAATTAAATTCATCTGAGGTAAGGAACAAAAAGTAGGACTTCACATACCCTTCAAAGATTTTTTTTTTCCACTTCTATTTTACTATTCAAAGCCAGGCTAGCTAATGGATTACCTCATCCTCTAAAAAAGCTGTTCAATCTCTCTGTGATTGTATAATTCTCTTTCATCTTCAGAGAGAGGAGATGGAATGATTAAACAAAGAACTCGCTGATCTCCGCGGCTGGTGTTGACATGCGACTTCAGATGTGCAACACTCACATTAAAAAATAATGTGGGCTTTGCACTTGGACCAATTCTTCTTTACTATGTATGCTACGTGTATGATAATGAAAAATGTATAGTGATGACAGCTGATGGTTGTTTTTCCCCTCTGACTATATTGAGGAAATGTAACATTAATCAAGCAATATGTGTGAAACTCAACTGGTCTCTCAGTTTTCAGCATCTAAATGCTGTTGTCTGCACTTTTTCTGTTCATGCTAGTTAACATTTGGGGTAAGAGAAAGCCTGTAGCTTGGACTTCATAGTATTAATGCAACATGCAGCATATGAAAATAAGTCATTGTACTGCCAATCACATAATGCATAAATATAATACAATTGGCTACAGTCATATGCAGATTTTCTGCAATGCCGCAAACTACAGAAATTGGGAGGAGGCGGGGTGTGCTCTGAACCACAATACACACTTTTCTTCCCACCAAGCTAACTATCACAGCCAGTTTCCAGGCCAGCATTTTGATGTATTGTTTTGTTTAATCCCAAATGGAAGAAGGTAAGGATTAATTTGTTGCATCTGTCAGACCCATGCTGGCACTGCTGATAGTGTCCGTGCCAGTTTTAGGGCTTTTTTGTTTTTTTGCCTCACCACTGCCCTCTCTTGTAGCCATCAAGACCCTTTTGTTACACTGCCAAAACACCTCTTTCAACTGCATCAACACATTGCTATTGTGTCATTGTTGTACCCCTTTGGCTTTGTCCCCAGACTTTCTCCTCTGAATGTGAGGTCCAAGCCCAACCTTCATTTCCATGTCCCATTTGGATCCCTCTTGACCTCAGTGCTCCTGCTGAACACAGTCCAGGTCTATGGTTCAAGAGGTCGGGCACATTGATTTGACATGGGAATAAGAGTGTGAGCTTGTGTTTATGTAAACAGCTCATGGTTCCCTAATGCACTGTGGCATACAGCTGTCGCATATATGTGAGTCACAGGCTTGTGAGTTGCCTTCAGAGTTATTACAGAAACATTTACATTACTTTATGTGTACATGTTGCAGATTCTGTATTCACAAGCATCCTCTTTTTAAGTTCTTGGTTTTTATAATTACTGGTACTTCACAAAATGTTTAAAAATTACAAAACAGCAGTAAGGAAAACTGAGTAGAACCATAATTTAGCCTTTTCATTATATTAAGTATATAATTAGATACATATTTAACATTCAAACAGCACTTTAATTCAGCAGACTTGGTGGATCTAATTATAAATGCTTAATACTGCAGGAAGGCTTAACCCAATGGTCACCCCACCACCCACAAGAGGTTGAATAACTGGATAGAGCAGTAGAGAAAATCTTTTCTATAATCTTTGTTTCATGTCTTTCTTGATAATTGTGATATTCTAATAAAGCAAGATAAAGACAATTGTTAAAGGAAACTAAGGAAACCAGGTAATACTGGTTGAAGTCAGTCTGTAAACCCGCTATGGGTTTGTTATGATAAGACTACTTCTGCTTTACATGGTCACCAGCGTACAATTATTTGTGAGGTTATTTTTGTCTTCTAAGTAAATGTCAAGAAATATGAATGCCAAAAGCCACGCTAATAGGTGTTAAAGATAGTTTTGTGTAGCTGCATGTCTAAGCATTTCTTAAAAGAAACTGACAGGCAAAAAATACAAATTGCACTCCAGTATTAGTTGTAAGCTTACCTTTTCTGTTGATTGTGATGTGCCAAAGAAGATTGGGATGAATGCTAGCCAAATAATGCAGGTGGTGTACATAGTAAAACCAATTGGTTTGGCCTCATTGAAGGTCTCCGGCACCCCTCTGGTTTTAATGGCATACACTGTGCAGGTGACCATGAGCAGCATACTATAGCCAAGCAGGCAGATGAGGGACAGGTCAGAGATGTCACACTTGAGCACACCACGAGCCATCACTGGGTTAGAGGTTCTCTGGTCCTCATAGTCAATAATAGCTTTGGAGGGATCCACAACAAACCAGATGCACACTCCGACCAACTGCACCGAGGCCAGGGTGAACGTGATGACTAGCTGTGAGGCTGGAGAAATGAACTTTGGCGCGCTCACAGACATACTACCCTGCTCGAAGATGCGGTAAATACGATTGGTTTTGGTAAGCAGAGCAGCATAACTAATGCTCATCCCCAGACCCAAGAAGATCCGACGAAGGGAGCAGATTACGACATCAGGGGCAGAGATCATCAGGAACGTTGTGGCATAGCAGAGAAAAATGCCAGTTAGCAGGACATAGCTTAGCTCCCGGCCTGATGCTTTCACAATTGGAGTGTCATTGTAGCGAACGAATGTGACCACCACAAACAAAGTGGCCATGATGCCAATGACTGCAACAAACACAGGGATGACTGCCCACGGAGAGCTCCACTCCAGCTTAACAATGGGGATTGGAACGCAGCCTGTGTGATTCTCATTGGGCCTCAAATCAAAGTGACACATCTTACACGTGTAGGTGTCTGCCTGGTATTGATAGCCATCGCAGCGTTCGCAGTGCCAACAGCAAGGGATGCCCTTCACAATCTTCTTGCGCTCACCAGGGCGACAGGCCTGGCTGCAGATTGAGGAAGGGATCTGACGGACACCACCGGGCCACTGCATTGAACGAACCTATGAGGGAGGCAGAGGAATGTGGAAAGGGATGAATGGACAGATAGAGAGAGAGAGAGAGAGAGAGAGAGAGAGAGAGAGAGAGAAGAAACATCTGAGAAAAGATTTTTAGTGTACAAAGCTCACTGAATTGCATACAGCTGAGATAGGTACAAAAGGGTGCTTTATTGATCCAAAATGGTCATTAGAAGCTCTGGAAGCCAAGGAGAATTCGTGTTTTTGGTTCTCTGTATTTATTTGGGTGAGAAGTTGAAAAAAGGCAAACTATTCAAGTATTCCTCATACATTCAGCAAAATTTTTCAGTGGCAAGTCAACTTTTCTGAAGGGCAAGTCTGAGAGGAAAAGAGAAACGCAATGTTTGTCCTGCAGTGAACTAATGGCACAATTCCTGTATTTTTTTTTTTTTTGGCTTTGGCAATTTTTTGTGTTAAAAATTAATCAATCAAAGTAGAAAGAGATGTCTCATTTCAAAATATTATTCCCCTTTGTGGATTTTACAGTTTCCTAAGCATACTTTGGAGGATAAATTAAATTCATCATTTGAAACAAGGTCTACTCCCTTTAATGTTATCGGTTTTATTTAATTGTGCCAGTTCATTCAAAGGCAGTAAATTTGTCTTTAAATGTGTATTTAATTGAGAACTCAAATAACACTAATTAAATACTGCTGGCACATTTTACAGTAGGTGCCTACAAATACCTTACCTTTCTTTTTTTCTTTCAGCACATGTTGTTGAAAGAGGTGAAGAAGACAAAGCTCCCCTCAGCCGGCCTCATGTGTTCAATTGAACTCATTTGCCTGCCCAAGGCCCCCTCTTCATTTTGTGAAAACATAATTTGTTTGAGTCCTTTATGTAATTTACTGTTATAATACTGTTACTTCATCACACTGCCTGCCCACAGTATTGTTTTTGGAAGTCAGTGATGCCGTCTGCTGTCTGATATTAAATATGTCTGTCCGTAAGCTCCCGTGGCTTTCTTTTCATCACAGTCCATTCTGTTAATCATTTAAAGTGCCCCCTGGATATTTACACCTTTGAAGATAGAACTGAGCACTGTGAAATGGTTTAGAGGGGTTAGAGATCTAACATGCAGCTGCAGAGCTGAAGTAACCTTTCAGAGGATTTTCATTGCAAACACTGACACAAACATAAGTTGTAGGGGACACAGAATAGAAAATGCCAGTGCTCACATTCAGATGGAGTTGATCCGCCCAGTGACCAATAATTTTGTACTCGGCTGTTCGGTTTCTGATCTGGTATTGGTAGATCTCATAGCGTCCAGGGGCATCTCCGTTTTCATTGAAGAGCACTGGGTTGCCAGCTATGCCTGAGTGAGAGAACAAAAATATTTATCATCATTATCTGTTTTTTTGTGTTCTGTGTGTGCTTTTTACAATTTTTCAGTTCTGGTGCTCATGGGTGATTTTATAGTGTACAATAATTTATCAATATGTGGAAAGTAAGGGTGTGGAGGAGGTGGAGATCCATCAAAGACCAGCAAAGTTCTGAATGAACCATTCAGTCTTGGATTACTGACCACATTTCCACTGAGTTCAGTAACTGAAAGCAATGGTGACTTCTGTTTTTAGCTTTTGGCTAGTTGACAGTTGCTTCCACTACATTTCTACTTGGCTGTAGGTGGGATTAAGTGTAAATACATAACGATCCTGCACATGTAGCTACCAGAGAATGGAAATTGAGACAAATGTTATTTTTCCATTGTAGTTTGCACTGGCTAAAAGTGGTAGGACAGATATGTCAACATGCAAACTTCTTAAACACAACAAAACAGAATCTGAAAGAACCAAGTAAAGTGAAGACAGCAGTGTGTGTTTATCAGAGTTCTCATCTTAAACATAATCAAATTTTCCAGTTTCCTAAGCTTATCGATCTTGGCAATTAAACCCATATATGGTAGAATAAATAAAAAATACATAAGAATCTGACAATTAATTAGAATTTTCATGGTTCTCTTTTATCACTTTGTTTTGTTTCTGTGGGGTTTTTTTTTTAAGAAAAATCCATTATCAGTGCATCTCACTGCACACAAGAAACCTTAAGAGCCTGCCTTCTTCTTACAGCAAACTGGCTGTAAACAGTTGGAGTTGAGCAGGAAGTTCAGAGATAGAGTACTGACCGCATTTTGTACTGATTTTTCTGTCAACTAAGGTGGGCTATAATTTATCTTTCCAATAATGACTCTAAATAATATTCCTGTGTTCCTGTTTTATGATAAGTATGTTAATCACAGTATGGTATTCATAGAATGGTCTTCCTTGGCCAGAAAATGGCGTAAATGCTTCTTTTTATTTTATTTAATTTTAATTTAGGCCACTTGTGGTTTAACATTAAGTCTCCCAAAGACAATTAAAATCTCAGTTAAGACGAAAAAGGTAAACCTGGCCAATTGCTGCTGATGGATTTTCTGCTGATGAGAATTTTTTTTGTCCTTGCTCTTTGTTTCAATTCTGGGGAAGCGGCACTGTAATCCACATCTCGATGAGTCAGCCCTGTTGGATTAAGGCATTACTGTTTTACTCAGCCTTGTGACAATGCCGCCCACATCACAAAGCAGTTACTGATCATGGGAGGATTACAGTGACTTTATGAACCACAGAGGCAGTTTTTATATAAAAATATTAAGAACATCGCCAGTATTAGTAAGCTATGACATTTTTGTTCAGAGATTTTAATCACGCAAAGCTTGTTTTATTTTCACTAATGACCAGCGGAATTTCAAAAAGATTAAAGCTATCTGCCTTCCAGTGTCATGGTTGTCTGCCTACGCTGTCATGGTTGAACACATAACCTCAAGCCAAAGCCTTAAAAGCTTGGATATAGACTATGAGATCAAGCGCTCCTATGGACACCTTCAGTGAAAGAGGAAAACGGACCATGAATGTCACTGGCAGCTTTAAGAGAATGTTACAGCAATGCGTCTGATATAGTTGTATGTAAAGCCTTGTGGGCCTTTTGGTTATGCTTGCTTTGCAAATTAAATCCTTTCATAGACTGACTGATCTCTTATTGAGTCTCTGAGCAACTGTTAATCTTCTCTTTTATGCACATATACAAAAACAAAGCAGTTTTGCAGTGATTTTATTTATATATTATTTTGTAATAACATTTAAATGGACTATTCTTTATTTTTCTGTTGGGTCATTATAAATATAAAAACAATGATGTTGGTTTTAGTATGTATGTGGGACACACAATAGAGACAGGGTGCATTAAGCCCCAAATTCCTTGTGCTACATTGACTTTGAATAGCATGGAGCAATGTGGTTAGATGTACTAAAAGAGACATCAGCAAGAACAGTGTTTGTACAGTTGAATACTTTTGGATCTTGACAACTAAAGCATTTTCACACCATGTAGCTTTTAATATTGGAAATCTGGAGAATTCAAGAAACTAATGCGAGGAGTCAAATGTGAGGAATATGAAGTCCAGCCAAAAACTAAGAGTAAGAAGCAGCTGGGTGCTAATCAAAGCAGTTGATTAACTGATCGTCAGCAAGTGTGACCAACTCTATAAAAGCTTCATAACAGTATAGTTAGAAAAAGACTGAGCAAGTATTTCTTAATAAGAAGGAGAAAAAGGGGAAAAGTCTTTTCTCTATAAAGAACATAGCAGCACAGCTTAAATATGTAAAGCTGAACCTAATCAACCCATAAGACTTGTGAAGCGATGTCCTTTAGACAGGTGGGTCCATAGTAGAGATGGTTGGCCTTAATGTACAGCACGCACTTGCTGAAAACCAAACACATATCAGAACAAACACTTCATGCTAGCTGTCAAGCACGGTGGTGATAATACTGGGTTGTTTTTGAGCCACAGGACCTGTGCACCTTGCAGTCACTAGGTCGACTGAACTCATCTATATGTGAAAATATTCCAGAGTCAAATGCGAGGTCATTTTTCTGACAGCTAAAGCTTATTGAAAAATGGGCCAAACAAAAGCGCAATGACTACAAGCACACAAGCAAATCTACAACAGGATGGGTGAAAAAGAAAAGAATCAAGGTGTTGACCCAGTCAAAAGCTCCCAATTCAACCTGACTGAAACGCTGTGGTGGGCCCTTGAGAAACATTTGTATAAACAAGTGCCTGCAAACCAAAATCAACTTAAGCAATGTTCTACAGATATTGTAAAGATGTTGTACAGTAATTTTACAGAGATTACTTATTGCTGATGAAGTTGGTTCCACAAGTTATTTAATCATGTGGTGTACTTTTCTTTTCAAATGACTATAAATTACCTTGCTATCACATGATATAACGCTAGCTTTCTAAATGCTAACTAGACATAGCTTTTCTAGAATAATGCAGTATGGGGGGCCAAATACTTTGGGACTAGAACAGGATATCAACAAAATTTAACAAAATATTGGCCACCTATTTTTCTATAATGAAACAAAATTAAAGAAAAATGGGGAAATACAATCTTAAGTGTGCAGGAAGGTAGTTTATTTTGCGGCACTATGGTCAGTTTTCAGTTGCAGCTAAGAAATTAGATTTCTCATCCCATAAACTGCTTGTCTAAATAGTCAACTCTCAAGTCCAGGAAAGATTTATTTGCACAGAGGACTGTTCCATGGCTCCATTGTGCTGTGAACTAATGTGGTAGTGTAGCCTGGGGGTAGCACAAGTGTGTACCTCAGGCTGCTCGTTTGGGGTTAATGAGGTGCTTGTAATTATATGTAATATTTAATGATTTTGACCTCTTTCTCTCTTGCACTGTTGTGACAATCCCGAGTAAATGTATATATAAACTCTTTAATAATTGCCATGATATGATCATTAATCCAGCATGTGCTTGTTCTGCATCGATGCACAACCAGAACACCTCAGTGAATGACAACAACATGACAGCTGGTCATTAACTCTTAATGACCTGTACCCAGACACAATGTCGAATTTGGCATGGATCCACTTTCACTCCTTAAGCCATTCAGTCACAGGCATGACCTGTACATGATTGCTCAGTCATAGCATATACACGTTCACTATCTGCAAGTACTCTTAAACTGGCCCTAAAATGTTCTGAAAGCATGCAAGTGGTTGCTTTTAAAAACCCTATAATATGTGAAAATGTATATATTCAAATCACCACAACACATCTGGGTTTTGGATCTGCTAAGAGAGTATAGATATTTTAAAACACTGCAAATTGTCACATAAAAGCCAGTATTTAAATATTACCCAACACAAACAAATGAAGGACATGCAAAAAGCATCAGAGGAGTGAAAAAACAGTAATGTTAGAGCTAGCATGGTAAATTTAGCATAATGTGGAATCTCACAGCACTATTTTCATCAGTGCAACAGCAGCTATATCACACTAAACATTTTCTCTTTATAAAACAGAAACACAGCTTTCATTTAGTCTGTCTCTGCCTTATTTGGGAGCACCATAAAATATTGTCAATACAACCTGACGTGCAGCTGTTTTAAAAGCATGTAAAAGCATTAATATACCTTTTGAGCTTTCAGTGTGCTGCAAGTGTTGCTATTGTTGTATTGACTCATTTAATCTAGGCTCAGGAAGATGCAAAAAGACCCAAAAACACTCACTAGAATAGTAAGTGAATGAAAACAGTGCTTTCATATGGAATGATGAGAAGTGTTTTTGAATCCTACTTCGAAACTTTCCCAATGAAAAGTCATCAGTGTAAAGCAACTTCAGAGATTCTCTTCACGAGCATAGTCTCTCCCTCTGTCTGTGTTTCCGAGCAACATCTGCCAGCTTTCCACTGCCACACCCCGCTGCTCTAAAACTGGTTTGTTCAGTTTATCGTCTTCTGCTGACTCAGCAGTTCTAGCCAGAGAAACACAAGTAAACACTGCACTTCCAATGCGTAACAAATTATTTAGGGCTGATGAAGAGACAAAATTGTGTTATGTGGCCATGTACTGACACTGCCTTACAAACAAGAACACAGAAAAGCCACTCTCGTCTGAAAAGCAGTTCAGCTATAGTACAACTAAGGTGCGTGCACAGGAACACTCTCAAAGGACTTTAAATGTGTTTCCATTGGCTGACAAAGCTCCACCGCACTCTCCATCTTTCCAGAGGAGAAACACAGTCTGACAGTAGCTCCTCATGCCTGGTTAGCTCTGACTACGAGCTCTTTGACGCTGTCCACACTACACTGAGTGGTGGTCAGTCATTCTCTCTGTGTTTCCACATTACCTGCAACACACCATAGCCACGAGGTCACACCTCCTACAGTCACCCTGAATACGATTTTAAAATGAGAGCGGTTCATCAAACGGTTACAAGCACTAGCATTAAAGAAGGCCTATTTCTGGTAGAATTAAAGTTG